ACTGTATAAAAGGGGAGAAAACGAAAAATTGAAAATCATGAAAAAGAGGACAAATAAAGGTGGGTGATCCCCACGAAAGACAAAAAAAAACTTATGACTAACAAAATTAATTCCACACCTAACCTACAAGACACAATTGATACCGCCAAATTGAGCCCAGCCAACATTTGCACACTTGCCAAAGACCTCCATATCACCACGTCAGGAAGACCTATCATTTCGGGTATTAATTCTCTTACCAAACACATTTCGGGTTTTATTGACATTATCCTCAACCCACTACTCCCGAACAATTAAAGTCACATACAAGACACCACGCACTTTCTTCGCAAACTCCAAGAGATAACACACTTACCAGATAACACTCTACTGGTCACCATATGGATGTCACTGGCCTTTATACTAACATCCCCCATAATGAAGGTCTAGATGCTTGCAAATTCTTTCTTAATGAATTTTATCCTAACCTTACACATCTGATCTTATTTCACTAATCGACTTTATTCTAGCCCACAATCATTTTAAATTTAATAATTCTAACTATCGCCAAATTAAAGGCACAGCTATGGGTGGCCCCCTCGTACGCCAACATTTTCATGGACTATTTTGAAAACAAAAACATCTACACATACCCCCTTCAACCTCTATTTTACGGCCGCTATATCGATGACATCTTCTTTATTTGGCCACATGGATCTGACACACTCAACTCATTCATCTCCCACATCAATAACTCCCATCACAGCATTAAGTTCACCACGGAAAACTCTTACTCAGAAATCCCATTTTTAGATGTATCAGTTGGTTTAAAAGAGAATGAAGTCACAACAACAGTTTACACCAAGCCCACAGACAACCACAGATATCTAGATGTGTATAAGAGACAGCTTCAATAGCGCTCATCCCATAAAACTCAAAAAATCCATAATATATAGTCAGGCGCTCAGAATAAAACGAATTTGCTCCACCAATACCGAATTCGATAAACATATTAACACTCTCATCTACAAATTAAGACTCAGCAATTTCCCCATGAAACTGATCAAACCAATAATTATTAAGGCCTCGTCTAAATCACGCCAGCAACTCCTTGAATATAAAGCCAAGTCGAATTCTATTTGCATACCCCTTGTCCTCGACTACAACCCCCGAATCCAACATCTCGCCAAAACTATCACCCAATATTTTCGCATTCTTTCTGACTGCACTTTATCCAATTCAGAAGCACTCAAATCACCACCTCTCATAGCATACCGACAACCTCCTAACCTTAATTCACTACTAACTTCATCTAAACTTCCCACTATCACCCCTAAATTTGGTAATCACCCTTGTGGTAATTCACGATGCCAAATTTGTAAGCTTCTTATTACCGACGACACCATCAACATCCGCCACTTAACCATACACCCACTATCGCTCACTTGCAACGCCTCAAATGTCATATATCTTATTTGGTTCAATCAATCTTAGATTTAATAAATGCATGTACTAATGTGGCAGTAGCAAAAAATACAAGATAGGGCCTATTTAAACGAATAATGAATTTCGAGAATAGCCCGTAATTTGTTTTTTTGTTCTATGTGAAATGTAATACTGTCTGAACCCCATAAAGAAATCGAATATGTTTAAATGTTGGATATTTAGAGCTTTGTAAAGTGTCAATAATATGTTATAAAGCAGAACATACTTCAACTTATTTCAGACTCCAACTATTGAGACTTTTGTTGCCATGTAATTTATATAAAAAGATCACATGACAGGACATCATCAAGCCCAACAAAAACAAAATGGGTTTGGTTGGTGCGTAAAATTTCAAAAGAATTCATGAATAATCTCAAATCAAGAGTCTTAATTTTCTTATGTTTACTTCTAAAAATATCATGACTTGTTTTAATTTCATTTAATGTAAGCTTATTTGCAATAAACCATTTTGAAAGTTTAGGAAGCTCATTATAAAATATTCGAAAATCTTCCTGTATAATATCATAGTGATTGTATAGAATATTTGTGTTAGCAAACATTACCACCTCAATTTCTTAATTATATGGAGAAAAAAAATATCTTTTACATGATAGTAAAAATAATAAAGGACTCAATATCGAGCATTGTGGTACGCCACATCTGAATTCTTTTCCTTTTGATACACAGTAATTTATTAAGGTATAGGCCTATATGTTGTAATTATTATTTGTTATAATATTATGTATACAAAAATACAATTTTAAATTAAATTTGTTGACAATATACCTTGAAATATAATTTGTTTCAAAGTTTGCGGGTCATCTCGGATTGACTCGACTGGATTTCGATATGATACTAATGTTAAATTATTAGAAACAAGAGCATACACTTCGCAATGTCGTGGCGCTCGAGTATTATATATTTTTGTTTTTTCTAAATGTTTGCCTACGGTAGACCTATGAAATCTTATCGATCATTTATCATGGGATGTACGTCTTAACAACTGTGAATGTTGTTGTATGTGGTATGTTGTATGCTAGTACCCTTTCTATAAGGTGTAATACCAGTAGTAGATAGGTACTATCAAATTCTAGAGAAAAAGAGGCTAACCTATGCCTAACTACAAGTCCCCTCCCTAGACTAAGCCTAGGCCCCTTAGGGCCTAGTTAAGATCCCAGGCATGACACCACAGTCACGCTGCACATGACATTAATTACAATTTTGAAAAAAATTGAATTTACAATAATATAATAAAAATAATAATAAAATAAAATATATTATTTCCGCAATAATTAATAACTAAGCCTTGTAATTAAGAGCCTACAGTACAATGCTATTTACTAGGTCTATAATTAACTAGCCTTAATCATTAAATGGTAGTCTGCATTTTTGGCAGACCCTATGGCATCCAGTATTTTAGAACTGTCTATTCTCACCTTTTCTTTTAATTTGAAAATAACTATCGCCCTGTTTTATTTGATCAAGAAATGCTGGCCTTTTCCTCCTTGTACTTTTCCCTGAAAGCGCGGCCTTCTAAAACTGTTTTGAGTACGTGATCAAAATCCTATTAGTACAGAACCAATCCAACTCTGCTTAAGATCTTTCCTATAATTTTTATCATTTTATGTAAAGCGCATAGAGGCACTGTGCAATATGCGCTATATAAATGTAACTTATTATTATTATTATTATTATTATGTATAATTTTTATTATTTAAGCCTATTTAACCAAAACCTAGGACTATCTGAAAAAAAAATGTTCAAAGTATGCAACTCAAGTTCAAATAACACATTTTATTACTCGTGCAGTTCAATCAAATATTATTTTGTCATTTTAATGCCAATCGGCATTAATTAGCATGGTAATATCAATGTATTTTTTTAAAAATCAGACTGCGACATTAATCTCAGTTTGTAGACGTTTATCTTTCGTTGATGACATTTGACCTCCTGAATTCTGCAATATGAGATTGTTTAGTCGAGTCACGCAGTCGGGACGGCCCGAGTGGAGTTTAATGCATATTTCGTACGGAAAAAATTGCTCCCCGCGAACCCTACAAGGAAGTGATATTTCAGTCGTGTAATTCAAATAACCGTCAGCTACATTGTATTACACAATGATGGTATTTACTTTACATCCTCTCGAGGTCACCACCATTGTGTAATGCAATAGCTCACGGTCATATGAATCTGTTCAACCATGAAGCCACTGTGGACCAATGATTATGACGCTCGCCATGACAGCGAGAGTCGTAGGTTCGAATCCCGTCGGAGGGATTTTAGCCTGTCTCACCTTATCGCTACCTAACAATGCGACCATACCGACCTAAGGTCGTATCTGACCGGAAGTAGGACCTGGCGACCAGTACCGACCACTATATTTTTTCAACATGTTGAAAACTCCGCGACCATCGACGACCCTCTCTTCTACACAAGCAAGTTGCTCATAGCAGCTTTCACACTGGTCGGGGTCGGTCGTATACTGATCGCAGTGCATATAGGTCGTGATAGTATGAGAGTTGCTTTTGTTACACAATGTATTTATAGGACCACATTTGTTGAGAGCTATGCTACACGGTGTACCATCACGTCCTTCATTCGAACACTGTTACACTGATTATTAAACACTATTATTATTGGACACTGGTTATTTATTTATATATAATTTAACAGTGTTAACGGCTATCTTGATTATTGTTATATGCTACTATTATTATTATTATTAATGTTATTATTATTAATGTTATTATTATTATTATTATTATTTACTATATTATTATTGAACACTGATCATTTATATATAATTTAACAGTGTTAACGGCTATCTTGATTATTTTTATATGCTACTATTTATTTCCAGCCGTTCTTTACGTCCTCTCGAGGTCCACCATCATTATGTAATACAATGTAGCTGACGGTTATTTGAATCTGTTCAACCATGAAGCATCTGTGATCTAAAGGTGATGATGACACTCGCCCCTTGACAGCGAGAGGTCGAATGTTCTATGACAATTTTTATTAGTGAGCAAGTATACCAAACTATCATGGGATAATAACATTGTTCACAGTCTTGTTAAAAAGTATGGTTTATACTGTGACCATGATACTATGACATAATTTTGCCTTTGATTTGTTTTCTTTTGTCAGACTTTTTTAGTATCTATGCCATTACACGCCCTTTAGGCGAGGCAGAGTATTGTCTTACTATGTTCGTTGTTTTGCCACGCCGTCTGTACCGCCGTTTAGGCTTTATCGACACCACCGCTTCTTTTGTATATTCTCTATATAACCTTGTTCATCTCACTATCATATCAGTACCTGATGACGACTTTCTTAAAATATCCTAACTCTAGCCTGTCTCGCTAATTTTTACAAACCATTATTGTCGGACTCTTGTGTTGGTGTCAGACATGTTATAAAGCATACTATCTGATCTTTCCTACCTTTACAAAAGCTCTTCGTGGGTGTGCAAGTATTATGCCTTATACACTACAACCTTATTAAAAGAACCTAAGTTTTTAAGTTAGTTATCTTACCTTGTTCAATTCCATTTTACAAATTTGACTACAAGTGGAGCGTCTGGCGAAAAACCGTCTACTGTTTAGTAGCAGGAAAAGAATACATTTTTAAAACTCGCATGTTGGGAACTTAACGATCTGGTAAGCAGGGGGTACAGCTGTTGTTGGTTTTAATGGTGAGGATATGTACGCCTTAGTCAATGTACACGGACCTATTTCACGTAAAGTAAACTTAATAATGCGACAACATAATATTAATATCGTATTATGGCACACTGATCGATACAAACCAACATAACTGTGCCGATTGTTAAATTTATTTAGTAAGTGAGTATTACTGAATGAACTTGCAGAATAATGATTTTTTTTTTAATTCAATTAAATTAACTGCAGTCAGGTGTTTACTTACAAGAATTACAATAAGTCTATAAGCCATATTGTTGAAAATTTAATATTCGTGAGTCAAATTAAGAGTATCAAATGTCCATGCCAATAGCAATTTAAATTAGAGCATTTACACCACAGTGTACATAGCT